TCGGCCTCCCAAAGTGCTGGGATGACAGGCATGAGCCACTGCGCCCGGCCTAAACCTCTTTTTTTTTTAATAAGTTACCCAGTCCTGGGTATTTGTTCATAGCAGTATCAAAATGGTCTAATACACTAGGAAAAGAAGGGAACTTTCTCAACATGATCAAGAGCATCTGTGATTAAATACCTGCAGCAATCTTCAGACTTAATGGTGAAAGACCAAATGCTTCTTCCCTAAGATCACAAACAAGGGAAGGATGTCCATTCTCACACTTCTCTACTGTACATTGCATTGGAAGTTCCAGCCAATGCAATAAAGCACAAAAAAAAATTAGTCAAAAGAATCCAGATTAGAAATAGAAATAAAACTATACTCATTCCCAGGAGACATAATATTTACGTAAAAAATCTTGGCTGGGCACGGTGGCTCATGTCTGTAATCTCAGCACTGTGGGAGGCTAAGGCGGGCGGATCACCTGAGGTCAGGTGTTCAAGACCAGCCTGGCCAACGTGGCAAAACCCCTCCTATACTAAAAATACAAAAATTAGCAGGGCATCGTGGTGCATGCCTGTAATTCCAGATACTCAGGAGGCTGAGGCGGGAGAATTGCTTGAACCTGGGAGGCACAGATTGCAGTGAGCTGAGATGTGTTGCACTCCAGCCTGGTCCACAGAGAGCAAGATTCCATCTCAAAAAAAAAAAAAAGGAAAGAAAAAAAGAAAGAAAGAAAATCTTATGGAATCTATAAAAACTGGGACTAAAACAAATGGATTTACCAAATTCCCATGATAGAATGTCAATACGTTAAAATCAATCATATTTCTACATACTGACAATGAACATTTGGAAATTAACATGCTTAAGTACACCATTTACCACAGCATCAAAAAAATGAAGTACCAGGTATAAATATAATAAAAGCTGTGCAACATCTATACACTGGAAACTATAAAAGTTGAGAGAGTTTAAAAATCTTAATAAATGCATATATTAGAATTGCAAACAAAATTCTGGCAGGCTATTTACAGAAATGGAAAAACTAATTCTAAAATTCATATGAAAATATTAAATACCTAAAATATCAAAATACTCAAAACATAAAGTTGAAAACTATGTTTGTGAGAAAACCAGCTACTTCCAGACAGGTGTACCATTATTATATAATATCATTTTAATAAAGAGGTAGCCATCACTTTCACCTGTATGTTTTCCCATTGTAAAATATTAAAATATTGCATATGTCCCCTTGGACAATTGCCTCATCTTACTCCCTCTTCCCTCTTTCCCTGAGGTGATCACAGTGGGCTTCATAACCTACTTTACAAGTCTTTTTGTACATCTATGCACGTATTTATGTAGCCACAGAAAATTAGAGTATTAGATATGCTGTAATAATATGAAAGAATATATGGCAATGAGAAAAGCTTAAAATCAGGGTTATTGTTAACTAGAGGTAGGGCAGAGATGGGGGTCAGGGTGAGCATGTGAGACAGTGGAAGGAACAAGGAGTACATGTTAAATCTCTTCCCTTTTAACTTTGGAAAGATTTTTAAAATATTATATTACTCCTGTTAAGTGTTTGGTTGAATGATCATAAGACATTGTAGGCAGAAATGTAAATTGGCAGAGTTTAGTCTAGGCAGCTCCAAATCTTTTGGTGGTGTTTTATTTCCTATCCTAGGTGGCAGAAAACAGGTATGCATCATATTGTTTTGTAATTTTTTTAAGAAAACAGAAGTCAAAATGAACATATCATCAGCAACTTGATTTTTTTACTCTACAATGTGAGATCTATTTCTGAACTGAATCGTGTCCACCCAAAAATTCATTTGTTGAAGCCCTAGCCTTCATTATGATAATATTTGGAGATGGGGCCTTTGGGAGATCATTGGAATTGGATAAAGTCATGAGGGTAGGGCCCTCGTGATGCTATTAGTGTCTTTATAAGAAGGAAAGTTTTCTCTCTCTCAACAACCCTTTCCCTATACCCCTATCTCTAGTGTAAGGACACAGTGAGAAAGCAAGACAGAAAAGGAACGCTTACCAGAAACCAAACAGGCTGGAATCTAGCTCTTGGACTTCTTAACTTCCAGAACTGTGAGAAATACATTTCTACTGTTTAAGCCACTGAATCTAAGGTATTTTGTTAAAGCAGCCCAAGTAAATTAATTCTAACAGTAAGCCATGTTACTATACGCAAATGTTTCTGTCCTTTTTTCTAATGCCACAGGATATCTAATAATATAACTAGAAAACAGTTTATTTAGCCATTGATGGGTATTTCGGGAGCTTACATTTTTATATTCTACAAACAACAATGCTATAGCCTTCTTGTGCTCTATGAGCCTTCTTGTGAAGGCATTTTGTCTCAGGATACAAATGCTGGGCATACAACGTGCATTTTTAATTTGTACTTAATAAATAATATCAAAATGTCTCTCAACCGGCTGTTTATGTTCCCATCAACAGCAAAAGAACCGATTTTTCTATGCCCTGAATAATTCTGCATATTGTTGGTCTTTGTTAATTTTGCTACTTGAAAAAGGTGAAAATATCATCTTTTTTATTACTAACAATTCCTTGATTAATATTATTGGGCACCTTTTCATATGTTTATATCCCATTAATTTTTTTTCCCATAAATTGCCTATTTGTATCCTTTACTGATTTTTAAAATGTGAGCTGTCTTTTTCTTATTGATATTTTCTAGTTCATAAACACTCTGGATAATCTTTTGTTTGCTACATATCCTGCAAATAATTTTTCTCAGTTCCAAAGGACATACTGTCTTTTAATTCTGATCGTAGTATCTTCAGTTGTATAACCGGTATACATCTTCACTTGTCATATGTTTCAATACTTAGCTTTATTTTTTATCTTAATAAATTTTTTGCTGCCTCATAGTCATAAGAATACTCTCCCATATTTTTTCCTAATATTTTTATACTACACTTGTTTACTTTTGGGTTTGGGCATTTTCTTAGTGATATGACATCGGAATTTAATGTTCTTGCACTAGGTGGCCAACTGTCCCAACACAATTTATTTAATACACCATTATTTTTCCCCACAATGATTTGAGATGACACTGTTTTCACAGACCAAATTCCCTCATGCACTGAGTCAGCTTCTAGACTTGCAGTTCTTACTGATCTTTTTATCTATACCTGTATCAACCTGTTTTAATTCCTATAGTATTACATAAAAGTATCATGCTATCCATTAAGTACGTCCAACTCTTTCATCTGTTTTACAACTGTCTTTACTATTCTTTTACATTTGCTCCTCCATATAAATTTGAGAATTTGCTTGGTAAACGCCATGAGGAGTGGGGGCAACGGGATTATAGTAGACTTGTAGGTGAACTTCCAAATGCTTTTTACACTGTTTATGCTATTTTTCTTGCCAACCAAACAACTACATCTTCTCCTCCCTACTGGATACATGTCTTCTAAATTGTTTAGTTCATGTTAATTAGGTTCTACACACAACAGAAAATACTGGGTGAAAGAACACAGTCATGTTTAAATGCACATTACAGAGAATATAAATCCAGAGACAATCTCTTTGCACTTAATACTCCCTTAAAAACGTATGGATAGAAGGACTCCACATGTACCTACTAAACAAATACTTAGTAAATTTTGGATTGATAATCTCATACCAGTTAAACAAAATAGCATGGGTTTAACATAAATCATGAGAGAAGCATTTTTTAAATAAATCATGAGGGAAGATTTTTTTAAATCACTTTTCTCACTTTCAGAGTTACCAGGAAACTTACTGAAATCAATCCAACAGATATTAGAAAGGATCTCAATAAATCAGATTTGCTACCCCTCACCACTGCTTGATCAAAAACACATAATAAAAATTAATATTTGAGAATTTTTTCATAATTGACTCTCTAGTGCCCTAATTAAACTGGGATATATATAATTAAAATTTTACATCTAGCTGGGTAAAGGATTTAAGATTTTTTCTAACTATATATTTTCTGTGACTTCAAAACACAGTAGAATCAAACAAAGTGATTCCTACAGCACTGTCACCACAACTTTGAACACAGAACATTAATGTAACCTCCATAACCAGGTATGCTGAGCATAGACTAAGTATAACATGGTATTAAAGCATAAGTTTTAATATTGTTAGGCAAGCTAACAGTACGGTGGCTATGTTTTGCAAACACAGAATTACTTACAAAACTATTTAAGGGTAAACTATGGTGTCGGGAATTTGCTTTAAAATACTATAGGGGCCAGACACAGTGGCTCATGCCTATAATCCCAGCTCTCTGGGAGGCCAAGGCAGGAGGATTGCTTGAATCGAGGAGTTTGAGATGAGCCTGGGCAGCATAGCAAGACCCCATCTCTAAAAAAAAATAAAATATCCAGGAATGGTGGTACAAGCATGTAGTCCCAGCTACTCAGGAGGTTGAGGCAGGAAGATCTCTTGAGCAGAGGAGGTCAAGGCTGCAGTGAGCCATGACTGTGCCACTGCACTCCAGCCTGGGTGACAGAGTGAGACCTTATCTCAAAAACAAAATAATAAAATAAAATAAAAATAAACAAAAACAAAAACAAAAAACCCTATAGGAAAAAACCTGAAATGGATGCATGAGACAGATAAGAACAAAACACTGGTAATTACTGGAGCTGGATCACAGGTCCATAAGGGCTATTTACTATATTCCATGTACTTTTATGCTAAGAACTTCTCAAAATTAAAAATTACTTTAGACTCTAGACTACAATGTGTAACTTTTTTTTTTAAGTTTCAAAATAAAATGAGCCCAGTTGAACACTGATCCCCTTTCTGCTTTAATCCATAATATTCTTTTCCATCCAGAACTCTATCAGCTGTACAAAATGTTCCATGATCACAGAACAAAGTTTATCTTCTTCTTCAAAGGCATGATACCTGGTATGTAACCAACAGCATCAGCCTTCTGTGGATAAAAATGCACTAAAGACAGGGAAAGTTGGGAAGAACAAAGTGGTTACCAGGGAGGAATTCTGCCAGCCGAGAGCTTGCCCTTCTGCCCTTCACATAAGAGTCTGTTGGCAACTGAGACTGGGTTCTTGATTCCTATAAAAAAAAAATTGGCAAAAAAGATGTCAGAAATGTCTTTCAGTTTCCCACTCAGTTTTGCAGTTGTTTCAATAAAACAACTTGAATATATCTTGGAAGTTCTTTTTTGATATATCAAGTAATACTGATGAAAACCCTTAATAACCATGAGCAATAAGAGTTAAAAAATAAATGAAAACCTAGAAGCAAGAAAAGAACAAATATAAAATACATATTCTCATGTTTTGTCATGTGCTACAGAAGTAAAGGCTGAACTGAAATACTACATATTTAAGTTAGGTTCCTTTTTTAATAGATTTCAGAGTAGAGTGTTTAAAATGAACTGAAAATGTGATACTATCTTACTATCAAAACTATATACATGCTCCAGGCATTTAGTGACCACAAAACCATAAACTCCCTTTAAAGAATAAACATCAATATAAACAGCTTCAAGTTGACCTTGGAGATAAAAATTAATGGGGGAAAAATATGCCAAAACTTTTAAATGTCACCTACAAGAGAGACAGAACGGGGAATTGTCCTTCAAATTGGGTAAGGGTGGGAGAGGAGGCCAACTGTATGAAAGTTTGTAACCTAAAATGTGGTTCAGATTCTTTCCAAGAGGCCAACCAGTATGTACAAGCGAGGTGATGGTGCTTATCCAGGAGAACTGACAGGACAGTTTGAGTGTGATAAACACTGTCAAGATGACAATGACAAAGACAATGACAGTGATGACAACAATGATGATGATGGTGGAAGGCAATGAAAGTAACTATTTGCTAATATGCTGCAGGCCCAGTGCCAAATTCTTAAATGTATCAGATGAGTTCGCTGATTCTTCAATTCTGTCATATAACCAACACTTATTAATCCTATCTGATAAATGAGAAAACATTTATAAAGAGAGTTAAGTTGCCTGCCCATGATCACAGCGCTGAATTTTAACACGGAGGCAGCTAATATCGAAGACCATACCCTTCATCATTAATCTGTGCCTGCCTTTCAGGACATTATTAATACAAACAAATCATCAGTGGGATATATAAAGAGACTACAAAAATTTAAATTAAGGCCAACAGATTGACTCTAAGCAAAATCAATTGTAGAAATGTAGCTCAACACCAAATCTTCCACAAAAAAAGTATGAAATACAAAACAAGAGAAAGAAAAGCCCAAATCAGGTCTCCTAGTTCTGAAAACAATATAGTTCTGGATGTGATGATTTAATATTGTAAAGACATTAATCTTTTCCAAGTTAACTTATAAATCCAAATCTTTAATCCAACTTATAAATCCAATTTGTAACTTTATATATATTATTTATAAATTAACAATTTATAAGTTATAACTTATACATTTATAATTATTACACTTATACTTATAAATAAGTATAATTACACTTATAAATGTATAAGTTATAACTTATAAATCCAATTTATAACTTATAAATCCAATTCTCCATCAAACCACAAAAGGATTTCCATGATGCATGAGAAGCAGACTCTTAATCAGGAAAATAAAACTTTGAAAAAGAAAAATGAAGAGGTATTTACCCTGCAAGACATCTTTTTTTTATTTGAAGCTATTCTAATTAAAAAAGTGGTTTGAGTACAAAATAAACAAATATGTCAATGGAATAGAATAAAGCTAAAATTCAGAAACAGACACTTGTGAATTTAGGTATTTAATATTTCAAATCAGTAGGAAAAGAGTTAACTACATATAAGAGGGAGAAAGAACACAAACGTAAAAGCGGAGGAGTCAGACTACTTTGTAACTGTTCCAGTTAATCAGTTTATCGCTTCACAGCTACAAATTCACCCTTTGTTGCCTGATGTGTGAAAATGGATATGGGCCCTCTAAGTATGTTTCCTTTGCCAGCTAGCACGATGGGTAAGCTTTGTCAGTAGAGGACATTAAAGAAACACTGTAGGAAGAAAGGGTATCTTGCTCACCAGGCTTCACTTTGGCCAATGTGGTACTCTCCTGTGCTAAGTGCCCACAGGGAGCAGCTTTCTCCAGCATTTGGACACCACGTTTTCTCCGGCTCCTGATTGGTGCCACAGCAGCATAGCTGAGAGCTCCAGAAAGAATGAGACCATACTCCAGTTCAGGACGTTGATCCCCACACCCAATGCTCAGCCCCACAGGCACACACAGCAAGTGTTCCACAGGGTGCCTGTGCAGTGAGCCAAAGGCCAATCTTTATCCTGCCCAGGGAGGTTTAATTCTCACAGCATCTTGACCTCTGTGTGCCCACCTACCAGCCTGAGCTTGCCTCTGTCTCACAGGATTGATCCTACTCACATAATAACTGTAGACTAGCTCTGGCCTGGGTAATTCAGCAACTTCTCTGCCATACAGTGGATGACAGCCACACCTTCTTCAATGAGGTCTAAACCTACTTCCAAATGTGTTCTCTTTGGGTATTCTCCCTCTGCCCTAGGATACATTTTTTAGTTCTCTTCCCATGTTTACAGAGTTACTCTCCAATCACTGCTTAATAACTCTTTATATTAAACTTCTATTTAAACTATGGTATGGTTTCTGTCTTCTAGTTTTACCCAGAATAATACAATGTCCTTGGACAAACTACTAAATCTCTCTTGTGTCTCAGTTTCCTCATCTGCAAAGCACAGACCTCATAAGAGCATTGTGAGAATTAAATGATTTAAAAGCATAGACCTCATAATGGTATTACATAGGATAAAAGCATAGGCCTCATAAGGGTATTGTGAGAAATAAATGATTTAAAATATGTAAACCACTGGGCCAGACACAGTGGTTCACGCCTGTAATCCCAGCACTTTGGGAGGCTGAGGCAGGTGGACCACCCGAGGTCAGGATGTCAAGACCAGCTTAGCCGGCATGGTGAAACCCGTCTCTAACAAAAATATAAAAATTAGCCAGGCATAGTGGCACACGCCTGTTATCCCAGTTACTCAGAAGGCTGAGGCAGGAGAATCACTTGAACCCAGGAGGCGGAGGTTGCAGTGAGCTAAGATCGCACCACTGCACTCCAACCTCGGCCAACAGGGCAAGATTCCGTCTCAAAAATAAATAAATAAATAAATAAATAAATAAATAAATAAACAAACAAATAAATAAATAAATAAAATATGTAAACCACTGTAGAACAATGCCTAGGGTATTACAGTCATTTAATAAACTGTACTTATTCAATTAACTATGTAGGAACAATTCTCAGTCATTTCAGGGGAAAAAAAAGCATTCAAGAGGTAAAGGAAAAATAAACTATACATGTGTTAGAAGAAAATACAAGTAAATTACGCTTATAAATTATAAGAGACTTTAAGAAATACAAAAGCCACAAAAGAGAAAGCAGTAAGTTGGACAAAGAAAAATTTTTAATTGCAATATGATTAAGGATATTATAAACAGTTAAAAGGTAAGCCACACAACAGGTATGAACAGGTAGTACCCAGAGAAATCCTAACGGCCTTCAAACACATGAAATTTTATTAAATACCAATAAAACTTCATAGTAAAAAAAGTAAAAGTAAAACTAATTGAACCACCCTTTCTTATCACAAAAAAGAAATGATATAAAACATCAGAACAAATAAATAACCAAATTGACCTAAGTGACACATATAGAGCACTGTACTCAACAACTCCAGAATACATATTGTTTTGAAGTTCACACGGAAATTTACCAAAACACACCATAATCTCAGCCATACAGCAAGTCTCTAAAATCTTCAAGGGATTGGTATCATACATAGTACATTCTCTGGCCACAGTGGAATTAAACTAGAAATCAATAAAGAAAGCTAACTAAAATGTCTTTAGGCAAACAAATTTGACAACTCATATGAAACAGACAAATTCCTAGAAAAATGCACATGAAAAAGAAAATACAATCATATAAATGCTAAAAATATTGAATCCTACTTTTAAAACTTCCCACAAAGAAAACCCCACTAATTTGAAATAATTTATGAATTCTTTCAAACAATTAAAAAGAAATTATTCCAATCATATACAAACCTTTTCAAAGAATAGGGAAAAAAATCCCCAACTCATTTTTTTTTTTTTTTTTTTTTGAGACGGAGTCTCGCTCTGTCACCCAGGCTGGAGTGCAGTGGCACAATCTCCACTCACTGCAAGCTCCGCTGCCTCCCGGGTCCCAACTCATTTTTGAAAGCAGCCATAACAGTGTACAGTAAAAAATTATCACACAGCCACCTAATTTCCCAACACAATTCTATGAGGAAAAGACTTCCTTTCAATAGAGGGCAATGGACCATTTGGATATCCATGTGAGGAAAAAATAAACAAATGTTGACCCCTATGTTACATATACAAAAATTAATTTGAGCTTGATAAGAAAGCTAAATGTGAAGGATAAAAACAATAAAATTACAGGAAGAAAAGAATGAAGACTATCTTCATAACTTTGAACAGGCAAAAACTTCTTAAAATACAAACAGTTAATCATAAAAGAAAACGTTAACTTAAACTTCATTAAAATCAGAAACTTCTATTCATCAAAAAACACCATTAAGAGACTGCAAAGGCAAACCATAGACTGGGAGAAGATATCCATAATACATGTATCTTACAAAGGATTTGTATGGAAAATATTTAAAATACTCCAACAAATCAATAGAAGATATAATCAAATAAAAACCTGCAAAAGGTGCAAACGTGCACTTCTCAACAAGGATATCTAAATGGTTAATAAGCATATGAAAAGGCTCTTATAAGTCACTAGGGACACTCGAATTGAACACCACTACACACATAAGTCACTAGGGACACTCAATACCACTACACACATATCAAAATGGCTGAATTTTAAAAACAATAACAATACCAAAAATTGGCAAGGATGCAGAGTAACTGAAAAGCTCCTACACTGCTAGTGGGAGTATAAATTGCAACAGTTACTTTTGAAAACCGGCAGTATCTATTAAAACAAAACATATATGCATATGTACCTAAAGAAGTATATATGTGGCCAGGCATGGTGGCTCACGACTATAATCCCAGCACTTTGGGAGGCCGAGGCCGGCAGATCACTTGAGGTCATAACTTCATGACCAGCCTGGCCAACATGGTGAAACCCTGTTTCTACTAAAAATACAAAAATTAGCCAGGCATTGTGATGGGTGCCTGTAGTCCCAGCTACTTGGGAGGCTGAGGCAGAAGAATCAACTGAACCTGGGAGGCAGAGGTTGCAGTGAGCCGAGATCACACCACTACACTCCAGGCTGGGTGACAGAATGAGACTCCATCTCAAAACAAACAAACAAAAAAAAACAGAAGTACATATGTCTTCCAAAAGACATGTAAAATAATATTCACTGAAGCTTTACTCAAAAAAGTAAAAAACTAGAAATTTCATATGCCCATTAAGAGGAGACTAAATACAGAAGTTATGGTATATTCACTCAATGAAATACTACTAAGTGGTAAAAAATAAAATACTACTGACACAAAACATGGATCCATCTCACAGGCATAACATTAAGCAAAAGAAAACAGACACAGAAGTGTCTGATTCCACTCATGCAAGTTTTAGGAACAGGCAAATTAATCTATGGTACCCAAAGTTAGCACGGGGGAAGAGAGCACAAGAAGTATGGACCGAGGAGAAGCATAAAGGGCCCTTCTGGGATTATGAAAATGTTCTACATTTTGACATGGAAATGTTGAATGTCTTGATCTAGGTGGCGGCTTATATGATGTCTACATCTAAAAATTCATGAAACTACACATAAAATACATATTTCATGTATATTTTACTTTTAAAAATGAAGTATAAAACATAAGACGTATCTTTTATGTACTGATGTGGAAAAAATCTCCAAAGATTATATTTAAATCTAAAAAGTTTATAATAATTAACACATTTATTTTTTAAGAAAACAAATACAGGCACAAAATAAAACTGTGTTTCTATTACATAAAAATATAGATAAAAGCACTGGATTTTTACTGGTTAAACCCCAGGCAGAAAGGAAATTGAGAAAGAAAAGATTTGGAGGATCAAAAGTAAACTTTATTTATATTACCTGAAATTTTTTACAACAAAAACTATAGTGTGTATTTCAAATTGTAAAAGTAATATTCTAAATCAAGTCTTAAATGTCTTTAATCTCTTCAAAGGATACAGGAGAATGATCAAATTCAAATCAAAAACTACTTATAACTTAGACTGTATGTTTTAAATTCAATAAAAAAAGAAGTATATTTGTTTTAAACACTATTCCAAGCAGTAATTGTGAAAAAGACCATAATCATCTTTAGAAGGCATGAAATGGTCACGTGCATGATTTTCCAAAGATAGTAGGTCATAATGCCCACATACCACTCAGTGCTCCAACTGCTCCAAAATTTAAGGATTTTCCATCCATTATGCTGGCATCACACTCAATTTCACCTAACAGATTTAGATTAGATCCCATTCCTGCATTTGTAAAAGGAGAATCCTAAAAGACAAAAACAAAAATTAAAATATTAGTCTTAAAAAAATTATTAATACCAATCCTTCATGAAATTTTCTACAAACTAGAAGGTGAGAGAATACTTCCCAACCCATCGTATGATGCCAATACCACCCTGATGTGAAAACATGACAAAGATATCAGCAGGAAAGTACAGATCAATATACTTTAAAAGGGGATTGTATATCACAAACAAGAGGAAAGAAAGATTGGTTTAATATCTGAAAATCAGTGTAATACCCTGTATTAATACAATACAGGAAAAAAAACATGATTATATCAAAAACAAAAAACACGGAAAAAAGGCATCTGACAAAATCCAACACCCTTTCATGAGAAAAACAGAAAACTAGATAAGGGAACTTCTTAACTTGACAAAGAGGATCAATGAAAAGGCCAGGCCAGGAGCAGTGGCTCACACCTGTAATCCCAACACTTTGGGAGGCCGAGGTGGGAGGATCACTTGAGCCTAGCTGTTCAAGACCAGCCTGGGCAACACAGTGAGACACCATCTATACAAAAAAACTTAAAACTTAGCCAGGTGTGGTGGTATGCATCTGTGGTCCCAGCTGCTTGGGAGGCTGAGGTTGGAGGATCACTTAAGCCTGGGAGATCGAGACTCGAGTAAATCATAATTACACCCAAAAAAAAAAAGTCCAGAGTTAACATTATAATGAATGGTGAAAGACTGGATGCCTTCCCCTAAGATCAGGAACAAGACGAGGATATCCACTCTTAGTACCTATTCACCAATATACTGTACAATCTAACCAGACAATTAGACAAAAAGGGGGGAGAGAGAGAGAGAGAGAGAGAGAGAGAGAGAGAGAGAAAGAAAGAAAGAGAAAGAAAGAAAGAAAGAAAGAAAGAAAGAAAGAAAGAAAGAAAGAAAGAAAGAAAGAAAGAAAGAAATCCACCAGACAAATGAGACACAAGGGAGAGAGAGAGAGAGAGAGAGAGAGAGAGGGAGAGAGAAAGAGGCAGAGAGCAGCAGGCAGCAGCAGGCAGTGCATGGAGCAGCAGGATGCAAAGAAAGAAAGAAAGAAAGAAAGAAAGAAAGAAAGAAAGAAAGAGAGAGAAAGAACGAACGAACGAACATCTAGATTGGAAAGGAATAAGTAAAACTGTTTCAAGATAACATGATCCTATATATAGAAAATCCTAAAGACTCCACTAAATAAAATTAGAATTATTAAGTTTAGTAAGCTTGCAGGATATGAGATTAATATGCAAAAATCAATTGGATTTTTATATATTAGCAATAAACAATCTGAAAATGAAATCAAGAAAATCTCACAATAACATCAAAAACAAAAAATAGAAATACATTTAAAAGAAGTATAAGACTTGTATGCTAAAAACTGTAAAACACATTGAAAAAATTTTTAATTCAATACCTAAACACGTGGAAAAACATTCTATGTACATGGACCAGAAGACTTACTGTTGTTACAATGCAATACTCCCCAAATCAATCTAATTCAAAATAATCCTTTATCAAATCCTAGCTACTTTTTTGGCAGAAACTGACAGGCTGATCCTAAAATTCATATGGAAATGCAAGAGACCCAGAATAACCAAAACAATGTTGAAAAGAACAGAACCAAAGGACTCACACTTCTAGGTTTTATAACTTTCTGCAAAAGTAAAGTAATCAAGACAGTGTAATATAGACAAATAGCTAAGGATAGATATATAAATTGATATAATAGAACTGAGAATCCAGAAATAATATACCCTTATACTTATAATCAACTCAACAAGGTTGCCACAACAATTCAACAAAGAATTTCTTTTTTTTTTTTTTTTTTTTTGGTTTCTCTTTTGTTTTTTTTTTTTTGAGATGGAGTCTTGCTCCGTGGCCCAGGCTGGAGTGCAGTGGTGTGATCTCCGCTCACTGCAAGCTCCACCTCCCGGGTTCACACCATCCTCCTGCCTCAGCCTTTCAAGTAGCTGAGACTACAGGCACCCACCACCATACCCGGCTAATTTTTTGTATTTTTAGTAGAGACAGGGGTTTCACCATGTTAGCCAGGATGGTCTCGATCTCCTGACCTTGTGATTGACCTGCCTCGGCCTCCAAAAGTGCTGGGATTACAGGCATGAGCCACCGTGCCTGGCCAGAAGATATAGTCTTTTCAATAAATGGTACTGGGACAATTAGATATCCATATGTAAGAAAATGAAGTTGGACCCCTATCTCACACCATGTATGAAAGTTAACTCAAAGTGGACCAAAGGCCTATATGTAATAGCTAAAACTACATAACTCTTCAAAGAAAATATAACAAAGAATGTTCATAACCTTAGGTAACAAAATAGTTTTAGATTTGACACCAAAAATACAAACAACCAAAGAAAAGCCTAAGTAAAACAGGACTTCGTCAAAATGTAAAACTTTTATTTCAAAGGACACCATAAAGAAAATAGAGAAAAAAAACAAAATGGAAGAAAAAAATTGCAACCCATGTATCTAGTAAGGAGTTTATATCCAGAATATATATATTTTTAAAAATTCTACAACTCTAAAATAAAAAGATGACACAATTTAAAAATGGGAAAAGAATATGAATTAACATTTCTCCAAATAAGATACATAAATCAACAGCAAGCACACGAAAAGATGTGCATGCCATTGCACTCCAGCCTGGGCAACAAAGTGAGACCCTGTCTCTAAAAAATAAATAGATAAAAACCAATTCTAAAAATAGAAAAATGTGGCCAGGCATGGTAGCTCACACCTGTAATCCCAGCACTTTGGGAGGCCGAGGCAGGCAGATCACTTGAGGTCAGGAGTTCGAAACCAGCCTGGCCAACATGGTGAGACCCTGTCTCTAATAACAATACAAAAATTAGCCGGGCATGGTGGTGGGCACCCGTAATCCCAGCTACTCGGAAGGCTGAGGCTCAAGAATCGCTTGAACCCAGGAGGCAGAGGTTGCAGTGAGCCAAGATCATGCACCACTGCACTCCAGCCTGGGTGACACAGTGAGACTCCGTCTCAAAAAAAAGAAAAAGAAAAATGTTCAACATCTTTTGTCATCAGGAAAAGGCAAATCGAAACCCACAACAAAATACTACTTCAAACCCACAAGGATGGCCACAATTATACAGATAACAACACATGTTGGCAAGTATGTACGGACATGCAAGTAAGCAAAATAATATGGCCCACAACCAGAGGAAATATCAAATAATAACAACAAATGTAGAAATGACATCAATGATCAAATTAGCAAACAATTTTAATGTTAGCTAACAATGTTAATGTTAGCTAACAATTTTAAACTAGATTATATAAACACACTCTATATGTTCAGGTAGGTATACGAAAGTATTAGCAAAAGAAGGAAAGAAAAAAAAACTATAAAAATTTTTGACCAGGCACAGCAGATCACACCTGTAATCCCAGCACTTTGGGAGGCCAAGGCGGGAGGATCACAATGTCAGGCATTCGAGACTAGCCTGGTGAATATGGTGAAATCCCATCTCTACTAAAAATACAAAAATTAGCTGGGTGTGGTGGTGCTCACCTGTAATCCCAGCTACTCAGGAGGCTGAGGCAGGAGAATCGCTTGAACCCAGGAGGTGGAGGTTGCAGTGAGCTGAGATCATGCCACTGTACTCCAGCCTGGGTGACAGAGCAAGACGCCGTCTCAAAAAAAAAAAAAAAAAAATTAAAATTTTTAGAGCTGAAACAGACAATAAGGTAAAGGCATTTGAAAATGGTTAACAGTAAATTTTGCACTGCAGAAGAAAATAGCAATAAACATAATAATATAGCAATAGAAATTATCCAAATTAAATGACAAAGTGAAAAAAGGAAAAAGAAGAAAAAGGAGGAGGAAAAGAAAGAAAAAAACAGTACTGGAGAAGAATGGGAAATATCGAATCATCCAACATGCATGTAACTGGAGTCCCAAATGAAAGTAGAAAAGTGGATGAACAGTAAAAATATTAGCCAAAAATTATCCAAACTTAATAAACACTATAAACATACAAATCCAAGAAGCTCAACAATCCCCAAATAAAAGAAATATGAATAAAAATACATCAGAGTACATCATAATCAAAATGCTGAAAACCAGTAATAAAATCTTAACAGCAACAAGAGCAAAAAGACACATGTGAAAATGAACAAAAATATTAAAGCAGATTTCTGGTCAGAAACAATGCAAGACAGAAGACAATAGAGTAATCTCTTTAAAGAACTAAGAGAGGAAACAAACTAAAAACTGAGAAAACTACAAAATGTCTTCATAAAGGCAAAATAAAGACTTCTTCAGGCACACAAAAATTGGGGTAATTTTCACCAGCAAACCTACACTATAAGTAATGTTAAAGGATATTCTACAGGTCAAACAAAAAAGATACCACATGTAAATCTGGGATATGCAAAAGAATGAAAGTGATTAATACTCTAAATAAGTGGGAAGATATAAATAACTTTTATCTCATTTTCAAAGTGCTTCAAATGATAATTGTTTAAAGCAAAAATAATAACAGTGTACAATGGGGTTTATAACATATGCAGGTGCAAACTATAGGGCACAAGTAGCACAAAGATTGCGAGGAATGAATGGAAGTGTATTGTTACAAGCTTCTGACATTACACATGAAGGTCTATAATATTAATATAATTTGAAAGTAGACTGTGATAATCCAAAAGTGTATTTTGCAAATGGTAGGGCAGCTACTAAAAAATAAAAGAAGTGTAGAGCTAATAGAATAAAAGTGGAGGAAAAAATGGTTCATTTTTTAAAAATCCTCAAAAGATAGCATAAGAAGAAGAAATAAGAACAAAGTAGAGATGAAAGGAATAGAAAATAACAAGATGATCACTTTGTATGCAGCCGTATCAACAATTACATTAAATTCAGCTGGGCACAGTGGATCACACCTGTAATCCCAGCACTGTGGGAGGCCGAGGCAGGGGGATCACGAGGTCAGGAGTTCAAGACCAGCCTGGCCAACATGGTGAAACC